CCTAAAGCCCGACCATACGGGCCCTTGGACCCTCATTGTCAGTCGATCGAAGCATAAAACGCATCCCAGTGTCTCAGAGTTTGAGGGTGCTCTGTTTCAAAGACCAGATAGACTGACTGGTTCTGAGTAGGGAATGGAGGAATGGGGTTTTGGGACTACTATAGGGGACCTTAAGGGACTATCATAGGGATCCATCACCCCATTCCCTACTCACAGAGCATCGCCCCAGTGGCAAGCCTGAATGCCGCTTGGGTTCAACAGTCTTACTCTACGGGATAAGGTTTCTGCTGCATGTGATCTATCAGATTCGATCGATACACCAAACTAACACACTGGGCTGAACAATAGCTATTTCGATGATCCGATGGCCCCAAAGGAACTTGTAATCCTGAAAACCGACACCCTAATACACCGTAACCTTCCGAATGCCTCATCTATTCACGGCTTCACTTCGGAACTCTGGCTCGAGAGGTACTCCAACCCGGCCGCATAGTCAGGCCAGGTCGTCATCAGGCTTCGCCGTTTCACGTGGTACAGCACGAGAAGCTGGTGGAGGGTCAGAGACGACGGCTCTGAACTTAGTTGAGTCGCAGAGTTCCGCAGTTGACGCCATTCCGATTCCAGCAGGCGTCCCGAGCCCGTGACGTTGAGCCCAGCGGATCCTTCCAAGAAAGTCGCCAGGTCAGAGAGGTGAGACTCTGTCGGGCTGGAATGGCAAAGGAGTAGCAAGCATTGCAGCTGCAGAACAGATGCTTGTCCATTGCCCGAACCCAAACCCGCCTTTCTCATACGATCCAAAATCCGAACGGCTACGGTGGGCCCGGCCGCCAAAAGGTGTGCCTTTGCATAGGCCACGTAGCAGATGTGGTTGGGCTCAACCGCAAGGTTGCTCACAAGCTTGTCCCAAATGAAGTCCGCGCGCCTCCAGTTGAGCAGCATACCTGCTTCATTGATCAAGTTGCCAAGCAGGACTGCATTAGGCGAAGCATCCTCGGAACGCGAAATCTGATCCAACAGCTCGTCGACTTCGGCGTGTAGCTTGCATCGTTCGAGAAGTGAAAGAAAGCTCGTGTATGAAATGATGTTTATGGTAGCTGGAACTGTCTCCGACCATTCAGCGATTTCCTTCGCCCACTCACTGTAGTGCTTCAGGTCCAACAGCGGCACAGAGGTACCATGCACTGCCAACTGCAGGATTGAAGTCGAATTCAGATGTTGGTGATGGCATGGCATGCCAAATCGACTTACCCAGGTGCAAGCCGTACTTGCTTCTGCTTGCCAACGTGGCCTCAGAAAGTCGTTGATCTTTGAGACATGAGGCTATAGCTGTTAAGAAGATTCTGGCTTGGATACCAGACAATGCTATGTTGCAGCGATCTTGGGGTTCGTGCACTTGCAGTAGGGTCTCCCACCAGCGATTGTACCCGCATTTCTGCATGGCACAACTAATCACACTAGCATCCACTTCCCCTTGTCGGACTGCCGCATACAAACACATTCGTAAACTCTTCGCTGATCTCGACTCCTTCAGCTTGGCCCTCCAATACCCAAACTTAGGATTTCGTCCCTGGCGGGCTTGGGAATGGGCCGAGGGATCCAGGGGCCAGTTGCCAAAATAGAGGTCCCTGTCTTGCTTTCTCCTGCCGGTGCGGCCCATGAACGTGTCTTGGGGCCTCTGCAGCATCCGCTCCCGCTTCGACTTAGGCACATGTTCCGGCCTTGAGTGACTCCCACGCTTCACTGCAATGGCCCGATGGCGATGGTCCAAGAAGTTGCCACAGCTGAAGGCGAAAGCCATCAAAAAGATCAAGCAAAGGCCAATGCCTTCCCTGGGGCATGGAAGCATAGTTGCAGGCTGAGAACCAACTGTTCAACCAAGGAACATCTGCAAGCGCCTGAGCCAGTAAAGACGGTGTTACACAGGCCTGTGGAAAGAATCTAAAGCGCTGACAGATATTCGACCTGCCATGCCATGTGGTTGCACACCATGGTCCAAAAAACAACACTGCCCAGCACGTCGTCTTGTTTCGATACTAGTTGGGTAGCAATTGCTGAACGATGGGTGGTGGCACAACCATGTAAATAACGCTTCACACACACACACACAAGACTCAACTTACAAACTCAACCTGCGCGGCTGTGAGGCCCTTGCATGGAAACGAACCATGACACATCTACCTGGAAGGCTCAACCTCACACTTCAGCCCAATGTCGAGTCGACAGGCGAATTCTTGCTTGGAATCTCCGGTGCCCGCATCGGCAACTACTTGCCAACAGCTGCAGACATTTGGTTGTGAAAGTTGCCCTAAACCCTATAAACCTTAAACGCTTTAGGGTTCATAAACCCTAAACCTTAAACCGTAAACCCTAAACTCTTTAGGATATATAAACCCTAAAGCCCCGAAGCCTAACCATCCTGTTGCCTCGTAGCAGCTCACCACAGGAGTCGCCAGCTGCTATTGTATCCATCGCCTGTGGGACTGCAAAGGGTTTAAGGTTTTAGGGTTTAGGAGTTTTGGGTATATTACAGGGTAGAGCCCTTAGAGGCTTTAGGCAACTGTAGGCTTTAGGAATGAACGAACTGCTTGTGTTCCGGTCTTCCGCGGCAACCGCTGAAGCACTTGCATGATTCATGCCACTGGCATCTTTCTGCACATTTGAAACTGTTTGAAAGGAACCCTGAGCGTCCCGCAATGACAGCATCCAGCGCAGCGGTTGACCTCCGCAGTACACGGCTCTGGCTCAGCGCATGCCGTATCTCCGACCTCGGATGCAAATGTTGTCTGCTGGCACTGAAGGGGTTTAGGGTCTAGCATTTTGGTAGGTTTACAGTATGGATGAAGCACCTTTGCTGGTGTTGGAGAGTGGGGCCATGCTGCAGACCCCCCCTCGAAGAACCTTCGGACTCGTCGTCGCTGGAGGTTGGGCTCTCTGCTAAATCATCTTGTTCTCCGTATGAGAGCACGTGCAAGCCACGTGCCGCAGCTGACACCTATATGCTTCTAGCATCAGCACACAGGCATAACTGCAACGAAGCATTAATATAATATAATACAATATAATATAATATAATAGAGTATAGTACAATATCCTACAGCACCGGCGGCCTTGACCTCTGAAAAGCAAATCCTGCAATCATTCGAGCAGCGCCGGGCCAGCGTGGTGCACTTCATCACAGGCAGAAGCAGCGAAGGCAAAGTCCGCCTGACGCCAGGCTCCCTTCAGCTGTGCTGCTGGTGGAAGGTCCGCAATCTACAGCCAGCGCTACCCTTTTGCACCATCCTTGCTTCGGGCCCCGGGTTTGAAAGGGTTGATAGTTGATAAGAGTTTAGGATGGAGTCAAATTTCAGATCGAGAAGCCGGTCGTCTTGAAGGTTTAGGGTATAGGGTTTAGGGCGTAGTGAAGGGCGTTATTTATCTTCGGATGGCTGGTCACAATCCTTCCGAAGTGCTGCTTCTCAACAGCAGGGCAGTGCAGTCTCCTTCCTGCAGATGTTCTTCTGCCGCGAGTAGTACTGGGAAGCCCTGAGCCCTAACCCTCAAACTCCCGAAAACCCTAGAACCCTAAACCCTCAGAACCCTCAGAACCCTCAGAACCCTAAAGCCTAAGCACTCAGAACCCTAAACCCTCAGAACCCTAAACCCTCAGAGCCCTAAACCCCAAAAGCCTCAGAGCCCATCCCAAGAAGCCCACGGCTCCGGGGCTCCGGGCCGGCTCCGGGTGTCGGACCACCTCCGAGGCGGCCTCTGCCGCTTGGTTCTTCGAAAGTGTGGTTGGGTTTGGGGTTTAGGGTTTAGGGGTTTCTAGGGGTTTAAGGTTTTTTTAGGGTTTAGGGGTTTGGGGTTTAGGGGTTTGGGGTTTAGGGGTTTAGGGGTTTAGGGTTTTTTGGGGTTAGGGGTTTAGGGGTTTAGGGTTTACGGCTTAGGGTTTAGGGTTCAGGGCTATATGAATCGGTTGACATATATATATATACACACACAGAGAGAAAGAGAGAGGAGAAAAGAATGGGAGAGAGAGAACGGGAGAGAAAAACATGAGTCTGTAGGGCTTGGGACTATACAACTAGGGTTGTCTAGGAGAGAGAGAGAAGCATGTAGCAGACAGGGCATGGGGGGGGGGGTTATCGACTTTTCGGCACAGGGTTTTGCAGGCAATGACAGTTACGCATCATTCTGAGGTCCCGTGCCGGGTAGCCCCTGAAGAGGTCCAGAGCTTGGAGCCACCTTCCAGACACGGTTCTTCGATCAAAAAAAAGCACCACATTGTTGGATTCCTCATTCTCAAACCGCTCTCTCAGTCTTGTCCCTTGCGAAAGTAGGTCTTGAGGCTTACAGGCAGGGCTTGGGGTTGGGGCTTTAAGGTGATCGACCATGAAACTAATACTGGGACAAGCTGCAGCCACAAGCTTACATACCAGTAACAAGAGCACCGAGAGCATAACCTAGGCCTTGACTGAGAAATCATACAGGGGCCTTCGGTAAAAGAATAATGCTTTGGCTATGCGAGGAACCTTCAGGAATGGCACTACGGCTGATGATAGAAATCCTGCATTACCCATAATAAGGAGCACACCATAATTCCCATAGCTTAGGGTCCTTAAGCTAATCCAGGATTTATATCATCAACAGTAGTCCTCACTAGTAAGTAGTAATCAAGCTTCTACATTATGCCCCAAGCAGAGGGCTTCTGACTGTGATCAAAGGAGGTCTGCTCCACCGTGGGAGGCATTTGGGCTCTTCGTGAGCTTCAGACAGCTCGGGGACTCCCAATAGACGCCCTGAGTTGTAGCTTAAGATCCTTGTTACAAGGAACCCCACAGCAAAGAGCCCACACTCCTAACTTTACTTGAGAAGCCATCACAAGCAACACACCGTTAAAGACCCTGCGAAACCCATGATGACAACTTTTCTACGAGCCCTTTACGAACCCACGGGTCTCATAGCTGCAAGCAGGAGGCTTGGAGACCTTCTGACAGGCGAGAAGGGCGGCCTTAGCCAAGTTGCGTGGGAGAGCAACTCCCGGGTTCTGAGCTTAAGGGGAGTTCTGGGGTGCTTTCGGGCTTGGAGGTCTGTGTCTTGAGGCTTCAGGGCTTCTAGGGTGCAGGCTTCGGGGGTTGAGGTTTTTGAGGGGTGTCGGCTTTTGCGTTTTAAGCTTCATTGAATCGATTCTGCAGGGCTGAGGCCCAAACTGAGCAGCATCTGGAGTCTACCAGACCACTCCTGGGCAAAGCACGGGGCTTAAGCCCAAGAAAGGAGGGGAGCCTCTAATGGGCTTTTGAGGGGCGGACCAAAGGACTGCAAGGTCCCATGGCTTCAGAACCTGGGGTTTTGGGAGAGGCAGAGAGGGTTTAGGGTTAAGGGCCTATAGTGTTTAGGGGCATTTCGGAGTTTAGCGAAGGGTAAAGGGTATTAAAGGCGAAGCAGAGCTCCTGACGCGGCTTTGGTGCAGCAGACTGAGGCAATGACCATGGCCACAGCCCGTTCCCACTGAGCGGCCTGTGATGTGAGGGAAGATGCTGGACGGCAGAACCGAGCGTCAAATCGACCCCAAAAGTCGAAGCAGGACCACGCTTTGTAAGTCGGCTGGGCGTATTGTAGCAGGTGCAATTGCACAAGCTCTGCGTTCTGCAGATTCGAGACTGTTGCGCCTTGGCACAGGCACTGACTGCTGATCCCACAGCGATGTTGTCAGCCTCCAGGGTTCACAACAGTCACGAAAAAAATAATCACAGAGCGCTGCACATGCATCGAAAGTCCTCCTCAAGCTCTCGTCGTTGAGACAGTAGGAAGAGAGCGTCTTGCCAAAGGCCTTCCCTGAAGAAACGTGCGCAGCTTCACTGCAGTCACAGTTGTCTGACATGAACCACATGAGCAGCATCAAGGAGCATTGCAGCTTTATGAGAAGGAAGCTGCTGAAACTGATGAATGCTGTTTCTGTGCCGACCGCTAACCACTGACTCATGGAAGAGCACCTGCCTCTCACAGGCGCAGATGGCAGTGTTGTACGACCTCGGGAAGCATGCCCAGGGCGTCAAATCTTGCACAACAGCCCGGCATGGGAACACCGTTACCCTTTGACACCTGCTCCCTGAACCCGAATCCGGCGCTTCACTCTGAACCCCTCTTCTCAAAGCCGCAAGCAGCTCGGCTTCTCTTTGCGCCTGCAACCTGAGACCCCCAGGTTCTTCCCGTAAACCCTAAGCCGAAATCCCCTGAACCCTGAACCCTGTGAACTCAGTGAGAAAGAAGAAACTACCCACACCCTAAACTTTCCCTTAAACCTTCTACATAGGCCCCGAACTCATTTAATACTTAAACTTATAAACGCCCTACGTCGAAACACAGAAAATCCCAAAGCCCTCAACTAGCATCCCCCATTCGCATAAAATCTAGGGCTTTGAGGCTATGAGGTTAAGGGGTTCAGGTTTGGTTTTTTTTGAGGGCCTTTTTCCGTCTGCTAAAGTCTTAGTTCAGGTTTGTGCTTCAGGATTTACATTTCGGTCGGGGGGTATCAAAGCTCCCCACAACAGCACACTCTTGCACACCAGGCCGTTCTCGAATTTCCCTTTTGTAGCTCCGAGCTCAGGGGCCGGCACTCCGCTTGGGGAGAGACGGTAGTCAGGCAGCTGCAAGAAGAGAAGCAGGGCGAGCTGCCGAAGGATCTTTTGGGTTTTGAGCTCAGGGTTTAGGTTTGGGGGCCTTGAAGGGTTTAGAGAACTTCAATGCATATGTGGGGCTTCATATCTTCTCAATTGGGACCTGGGATTCGGATTCTCGTGCCGTTGTCTAGGGTGGAGTATGTCAGCATGCTTTTGAAGATGTTAGTGCAGAGACTGGGGGCTATTCGAGTCGGGTCGCCAGCACGTCCCGGCCCTGCGCTCCTGCCATAAGCCGGCTTTCTCACAGGCGCTCATGGCCTGACGTAGAGCGGACGCAAAAGGGAGTGGCTCTAACATGGGGATCAATCTCAGACAGAGCTTCTTGAATTAATACTAGAGGTACCACGCTCGGGAAAATAGTGTGCAGCAGCCCGAAAACTGCATCTGTCTGAGCAGCCTGCGGTATTCCAGGATGGAAGGCCTCACATGGCTGTCAAACTACACGAATCTGCCGAGATCTCCCCCTAAACCCTACACCCTAAAAACCCCAAACCCTAAACCCGAAACCCCCATGTCTCGGAAACCAAGCGCAAAAGGACTGCCGAGGTCCGCACTTCCTCCACGCCGCAGCAGGCTCAGAGCAGCTGTCCAACGCCTGGAGCTCAGGGCTGCGGTTAATGTAGACCTGGAAAGCCAGTAGTCTGTATTTAGGGGCTACTTTGAGCCAATTATGGGCTACTTTNNATTTTGGGCTACTTGGCTTTTCAGGGAAGCCTTAATAATTAGAATAGGGTTTTGGGGCCCATTAATTAAATACTATAATTTTAATAAGGAGCCCCCAAAATAGTATAGGTAATTGTTTAGGCCCCTATATTACTGTCAGGGACGAGCGGGTTGCCGGTGGGACCTGGAAGGACAGAAACGGGCTGGAATGGTTGGACGGGGAGGGAGCATCACATTTCGATCCGGTCTCGGGGTGCATGCAGCTGTGAGCGTATGCGGAGCCGCCTTGTGGACATGACTTCATTCCAAAGTCTGGGGAGTTTTGGAAATCTTATACTGAAATCTTATACTCTCTGCACATATATCTACCTCTGTACGTACTCTTATGATGCACCGCTCTGAGCCCGACACGATGCCCGCTCGCAGGCAGCGATTGCGGCCTGCAGGGAGGCCACGAAGACGAGCCCGGGAGTCTGGCGACTCACTTGGGAGTTTCAGCAAACTAGGGGGACCCCCCGTTAGGGGTCCTTCCTGAAGGATCCTAGTATCTGGGTTCGTTGTAGGAGGAGTCTTGGAGTAGAGTCCAGTCTTTTCCTGAAACTTCAACGACGTGTCCCTCTGGGATAAGGCCGCTGCTGTGACGGCTCCCTCATCACGGCCTGAGACATCCACCGGTGTGGAGGCGGCTCAGCATGAAACCATCGGCGTCGCCTTTCGGTGCAAAGCGAAGAAGCTGCAAAGCCTCGCGGGGTTCAGCATTCAGGCAGTCGGGAGAATCTCACCCTAAACCTAAACCTTGCGGCGCTTTCGAAGCCAGTCCTGTTCCCACTGTGAAGCGCGCTGACAGGCATTGACTACGGCACCTTGGCGACCGAAGCGATCGAGTCAGCAAAGAGCCGCACAGATCCGTAGAAGAAGAGTACAATCAAACCTAAACCCGAGCTACCATAAAATACTGGCAGGTCGGATACAGGGCCTTATTGAGGACGGGCAAAGGATTCGACATAGGGGTGTTGATTCCACACACACAAACACGTGGATGGAAGCTGCAGCGGGAGTCACAAGTATCTGAGTTGCAGAGAAATGGCGCAGGTCCGGGTCACGGACCAAGATCATTCACCAAGGACACATCCTAAAGATGGCACGCAACCCTAGTTAAGAAACCTCCATATCATCATCCGATCAATCTACTGCAACTGGCCCCGGTAGGAGCTATAAGGACGACCAGTTTTTCAAGCCCCCTAGTGACGAACTGCTTCACGGTGCTACGTTGGGGTTCTGCATGAGGAAGCACCGACACTTAGGTTGTTGGGGTTGAAATTACACACTCCCCTACAGTAACCCCTACAAACCCCAAACCCCAACCCTAAACCCTAACTTTAACCCCTACAAACCCCTAAACCCTAAACCCAAACCCCTGCAAACCCTAAAATCCCCTACCCGCGCCCTTGACCCCCACAACCCCAAGCCCTTGAGGCCTCCCCTGGATCAGACACGCCCAAACGCAGAATCCGCCGTAGTAACCTGAGACTTATGATGTTGGCATTCTTGTGAACCCTCATAAAGAATTTTAAAAAAAAGCCTATCGTAACCCCTAATTAACACCAACAGGGCTCCCTATACAACCCCTAAACAGACCTCAGAGTCCCCCTAATAGATATGAGATTTTGCAAACCCTCAACCCTAAACCCAAAGCCCCAACACCCTAAACCCGAAACCCTAAACCCAAAGCCCCTTCAAAACCCTAAACCCAAAACCCTAAACCCGACGTGCAGCGAGGAGCTGCAGCCAACGTCGTCTGCACGACCCAGCGTGAGGAAAATGTGGAGGGCCCAGGTCCATCCTGATCTTTAGGGTTTGGGGTTTAGGGT